CTCAGGGACACCAAAGGAAGGTGCTTTCCAATAATTTGCTATCTAATTTTATTAAAATAAAAACATAATGAGAGAAATCAGGACTATGTTTACCTTCTTTATAGTTACCTGTCAGTTTAATATCATTTTATATTATTTTTATATTTAATTACATATGTGAGGCCCCATAGTCCATTCAGTGCATGACTTAGGTAGGTTTTCAGCCCATGGAGGTCCCCAAAGTGGCTGTGGTTGACAAGGCCCTCACTGTCATTGTCCATGCAGAAACCAGGAAAGTGTAGGTCCTGGTGGCAACCTCTGGGGAAGAATTGGGTGATGGGCACCACAAAAGGTCCCCAACCCTCTATCCCCGGAGAGTAACCTGCTACCCCAGGAGCTGGCCACTAGAAGGCTCCACCTTAGAGCTCTCTATCAGTGCTCTCACCTAGGACCCCACTTCCTTCTGGCAATGTTCAACCCTCTACCCTGTGCCTTCCTCAGGTGCCCAGCCCCTGTGGTTCCCCGACCGCCCTCAGATGGCCTCCCCTCTTATCCCCTTGACTTATGGTACCACTGGAAGAGCATTTGGGGAATCTGGAGGTGGTTCTCACTTGGTTGGGGAGTCCCAGGGGTGCTAGGAATCCTACAGAGCTGTTTCACACAAAAAAGGATTTTCTGAGTCCTGTCCCTCCTTCAAAGGCCTTACCTGGATGTTTAGACAAGAGTAGAATCTGTTTACCTTTATTCAAATCTACAATCTTGTTCTATTTGATTTATAAACACAAAATAATGCTTGCACAGTTTTAGTACACAGCAAGTTATTGTGCTTTGTGTATGAAATTTTACCATCTAGGAAAATCATACCATGAGGCAACAATACTAATGTTCCTCTGTCTGAATGCATTTGTAGCTGTCACGTTATGGGGCTTCCATACATGGGTACAAACATCAGAAGATCTCATTGCATCTTTAGTGTCCTTGTGCCTCAGCATTTACATATTGATACATTATTATTTTATTAAAAATTACTTATTTGTATACATAAGTATATTTTATTATGTATTATAAATGTCTGTCCTTTATGTTACAATTAAGGCATTAAATTAATTTTTTCAAATTATGTATATAGATGAATTATATTTTCTTTAATTTTCATTGAAGGCTCATAATGAGAGGCATTGCATTTATTATAAAAAGTCATCTCTAGCTTGGCTGATGCAGCTCAGTGGTTGAGCGTTGACCCATGAACCAAGAGGTCACGGGTTCAATTCCTGGTAAGGGCACATGCCCTGGTTGTGGGCTCAATCCCCAGTGGGGGGGGGTGCAGGAGGCAGCTGATCGATGATGTTCCTATCTCTCTATCCCTCTCCCTTCCTCTCTCTCTCAAAATCAATTAAAAAACTATATATATATTAAAAAAAAGTCAGCCATGAGAATCTCATGGACATAATATGAGCAAAAAAGTCAGACACTAAGGAGGCTTCTGAAATTAATGATTTCATTTATTTGAAGTTCAAAACCAGACCAATGTAATTTATACTATTAGAAGTCAGGGTGGTGGTTACTTTTGGGAAGCAGGAACTTATGAGGACATGGGGGTTTGGGGGTCCTGGCAATGTACTTTTGCTGATCTGAGTGCTGGTGGCACAGGCGTGCTCAGATTGTGAAAGCTCGCTGANTGGGGGTTTGGGGGTCCTGGCAATGTACTTTTGCTGATCTGAGTGCTGGTTGCACAGGCGTGTTCAGATTGTGAAAGCTCGCTGAGTGTGTATGTACTTTTCTGTACATAAGTTATGCTTTAATTTAAATCCCCCCAAAACCAAAAAGCAAAGTTAACATCACCAGTAATGGGACAAATCAACATTGTGTGCCTGGGGACAACACAGGGTCATTTTTGTATATTCCTGTGACATGTGCATGATCTGAGTCTCTTCAGGAGGTAACACCTGACAAACCCAACTGAGAGCCATTCTACTGCCTAACTAGCCTGTACTCGCCAACACTATCAGTGCCGAAAAAGACAAAGATAGACTGAGGGATCGTCAGACAAAAGGAGACTAAAGGGGCTGCATAATAGAATGCAATGCCTGATCTTGGAATTTATTTGGGTTACAAAAGGCATTATGGGGGCCTAGCTGGTTTTGTTCAGTGCTTAGAACTCTGGCCCATGGACTGAAGGATCCTTGGTTCGATTCTGGCCAAGGGCACGTACCTCAGTTGCAGGTTTGATCCAAAGCCTTGGTGGGGGCATGTGGGAGGCAACCAATCGATGTATCTCTCTCACGTTGATGTTTCTCTCTCTCTCTCCCTTCCACTCTCTCTGAAAAGCAATGGAAAAATTATCCTCAGGTGAGGATTTAAAAAAAGACATTATGGGGACAATTGGCAAAATCTTAATAAGGTATATTGATTAGATAATAGTAACAGAATGNGAATGCAATGCCTGATCTTGGAATTTATTTGGGTTACAAAAGGCATTATGGGGGCCTAGCTGGTTTTGTTCAGTGCTTAGAACTCTGGCCCATGGACTGAAGGATCCTTGGTTCGATTCTGGCCAAGGGCACGTACCTCAGTTGCAGGTTTGATCCAAAGCCTTGGTGGGGGCATGTGGGAGGCAATCAATCGATGTATCTCTCTCACGTTGATGTTTCTCTCTCTCTCTCCCTTCCACTCTCTCTGAAAAGCAATGGAAAAATTATCCTCAGGTGAGGATTTAAAAAAAGACATTATGGGGACAATTGGCAAAATCTTAATAAGGTATATTGATTAGATAATAGTAACAGAATGATGTTAATTTCCTGATTCTGATTCTTGTACTGCTTATGTAAGAGAATATTCTTGTTTTTAGGAAAAACCGCTGAAGTATTTAGGGGTAAAAAGGTATCATGGCTGCAACTTATTCTCAAACAGTTCAAAAATGTATATTTGTGAAAAGAGAGAGAACAAATGTGATAAAACAGGGGGCCTGGGTGACCAGACTGTGGGTATTTATTGTGTTATTTCCCCCCCAATTTTTCTATAAGTCTGAAATTATGCTAAAGTAGAAAGGTTTCAGGGGGAGGGGCTCTGGGTCTGATAGCGGAAACCTAAATGTTGGCCATTCGTTTCTCTGTTCCCATGACCGCAACCACAGTTCTCCAGGGTGTCAGCGTGAAAAGCGGCAGCAAAGGGAGCCGAGGCCTGCCACTTCCTGCCACAGGCAGGTCTGGTGTGCCAGAGGTGCTGAGGGGTCTTAGCTCACAGCCAGGCCTCAGTGAATTGGCTGAGCTTGGTCAGCTCTTGACTGCTGCCAGACACCTGAGTTTCTTTCCTCAGCATGACCTCTGACTTCAGGGGGCACTGGGATGGACACAGGTGCCCCAAAGACTGGAGAGCTGGTTGCTGCTGCCCTGACTTTAGCCCCCAGGAGTTGCTGGAGCCACCGCTGGTGCCAGTTAAAGCAGCTTGGGTGGTACTCAGCCTTCCACCCCAACCTGGGTTAAAGGACCCCTGTGAACAACCTTGCACCTAGCAAGCCACACAGGGTGGGAACTCTCCTCCTGGTCCCCTCTTCTTCGTCCAGCAACCACAGGTTCTGGATTTAGCGCTGGGCCAGGGTTCAAACGTTTGGATGTCCCCAAAATGTATTTTCAGCTCACCTGCATCTGCCGGAAATGATACTGTTAGAGCTCTGCTCTCCAAGGAGAGACAGCATTTCCAAGCAGTGACTCCTAAAGTACAGAAGTCCCTGTTGTGTGTAGGTCATAGTTCATGGGCTTGGTTACATGAAACACATGGAATGTCTTTATTTTATTTTCTGTAAATCAGTTAAATCCAGCTCTGAGACTCCGTTACATTGGACTGGTAGGAAATTCAGCCTAGTTATTCTCCTGTCACATCAATGGGCAAAGATCTGGGGGTCAGGAAGCTCTTCCAGTTATCTGTCTCTGCCAGTTTTGGCCCCTTTCACTTTAGGTGACACCTGAGGTGACCCACATCCAGAGCTGTCTGCCCCCAGCTCGGTCACAGTCTGACTGCTTCTGGGAAATCTGCTTTCTCTCCCACCTCAAGTCCTACCTTTGGCCTCTCGAGCCTCCCACAGATCCATTTTATAGATGGAGAAACTGAGGCAAAGAGAAGGAGTCATATAGCAGACTGAAAAGAAAGTGACAAAATCATCCCCCGTAAGGTGGGTGCCCCTTCCACGGGCACTTGCATTGCATCAGGGGACCTTGTCTCAACTGAGCACTGAAGCTCAAATGACAGGATTTCAGGCTCCATGATAGGGAGTTATTCGGCACAGGGGTCTTTTTGATACAGAAGGCTCTCCTGATGAGGGAAAGGTACTAACTGTACTCCTGAACACTCAGAAACAGCAGCAGCAGCAGCAGCAAGCACCCAGGAGGCCTGGGTAACTGGAGAGATGGGGCAGTGCCCAGAGCAGCCACTGGCTTGTCACTCAGAGCAGGCACTGAGAGAGGAGGAGGAGGAGGAGCCCCTTCCTGAAAAGTTGAGGGACTCCTGGGAGCCCAGCTGACACTAGGGTCCCTGTGTCCCCATGCCTTTCCCACAATGCCTGCCCCACTGGCCACCACCTACTCCCTGATGCCATTTCTGCGCACCCATCCCCATTCCACAGGGATCTTCCCCCTTTGCATACCTGGCTCTGCCCCTCCTCTACCCCAGGCCCTTTATGACTCCCCAGCAGCCATGGGAAAGGGACCCAGGCCCTCCCCCCAGGGCTCCAACCCCACCGGTCCTTTCAGTCCCACAAACACTCTGGGCTCTCTCACCTCTGAGCTTGCACACCGGCTCTTCCCTCAGCATCAAACATATTATTTCCTGCTCTCTGCTTTGGGATTTAATTTTTTCACCAGATGAGGTAGGCTCCCCGTTTTCTCTGACCCCACAGCTCCTGTCCGCCCTATAACTCTTATCTACTCAGGACCCATGTCCCTTCGGACATCCTGTACTTGACTCACCACCATTGCCTTCTCAATGCCTAGAACAGAACTTGACATAGCACAGGCACTCGAGGGGTATTTGTTGCATGGATGAATGAATTTATTAATCATTGCATGGATGGATTGTCATGTAGGTAGCTTTGGTGGCTGGGTGGGGACGAGGGGAGATACTACATAAGCTGTAGCCAGTGCCTGCCCATGGCAGCAGGTGGCTGGAGGGAGAAGGCCTTGTCACCTCCAGCAGGCTTTTTTTTAATGGCCTGGCAGTGAGGTGCGTGCATGGCGGAGGCCTGCAGAAGAGGTAATGCCGAGAGGGCAGCTCTGCCCATCTCTAATTATTGCTTCAGTCTTTGTGGCAATGTCAGCTTCCTGCCCCAGAGAGCTCGGTCTCGTCCATCACAGTGTGAGCTCAGGGTGGGGCTGCTGCCACCGCCAGTGGGGAAGAACACAAGAGGACATTCCCGGGGACCTTTGGATCTTGGAGAGCAGAGGCAGCCCTAGGCTTGGAGCATGCTCAGCTCCTGTCCTTCCTGTCCCCAGGGCAGCTGAGGGGTGTCCCCTGACTTGGGAATTCCATCAAGAAGCCTGTAGGGTGGCTAAGAAGCAAGCCAGAAGGGGGATGCCCACAGCACCCCCAGGCGGGAAGCCTCAGATGGTTTGGTGTCTGCTGACGTGGAAGCCCTTGGGAAGATGGTGTCCTAGTGGCCAGCTGGACAGTGGGGCAGCTCAGGCCCGGAAGGAGGCCTTGACCAAACGGCCCATCAGTGGCTGTGGTGGCCGGAAGTTGTTGACCATGTGGATCCTCTCATCATCCTCTGAGGTGGAAAACAGGCTCCGAAACTTCTCCATCTTGAGAAGGCAGAAGAGAAACTCAGGGCCGAGTGGGGTGCTGTGGTCCCCTCTGACCCCGGACACACCATCTGGCGTACCCTGCCCAGTCAGCTCTGCCCCTCCTCCCTCCTCCTCCCCTAGGGTTTGTCCCCAATTCTCCCCACTCATTCTCTCTTTGGGACCCCAGCCTCAGCTATTTACTCACTAAAGGGCCTCTGAATCTAGACCCTGCTCCACCTACTTGCAGTTCTTATCCAGTCTAGCTAAGACTTATCAGCAAACGCAGCATTCAGATTCTAACACAGCAGGTGTGATCCCAGGAGCCAGGGATCTCCCCTCCAAGACCGTGTCTGGGTCCTAATGACTACCAATCAAGCTAACGTCCCTCTAAGAATCTAAAAGATTATTAGCACAAGATGGGAGCTCGGTGGTGGGACCCCTGGCTGTGGGTTGCTGATTGGGAGAGTCACACTGCTGGGAGGGACCCTGGATGCTGCATCCTTCCACCTGATGCTCCACCCGGAGGACTTACCTGCCTTTCAGAGATGCTGATGGGCTCTCGGAGCACAATCCAGGTGACGCTCTCGTTCAGTGGGGGCGTTGTCAGGGACCCTGGGTAGGTCCAGTAGTGCCGGCTGGCAGGCAGGAGGCACTTGACTTGGAAGCAGCTGAACTGGGCCCTGGTGCCCTGTGACAGGGTAGGGGAACCCAGAAATCAGCAGAGTCCTCCCACCAGCACCAGATCAGCAGCCTCCCTACCCATTTCTGTCAGGGGGATCTAGGCTTCTCCTTGGCTCATTGATGCAAATAGTGGGCAAATGTCTGTGATCCCAGATGCCATCTCCAAGCTGGGGCCAGGCTATGTCCACCCATTTGCTTGTCTATAAAAGCTGCAGCTCCAGGAGCTCTTTGGCCATGACGTCTTCTCCCTTCTCTTCAGCAGCCCTTAGTGGTGCTGTCTGCCGGACAACCATTAACGAATGTGACAAGTATCTTATCAATCCTATACCCACCAAGATCACATGCTGGGCACTCCATGGAGCCACTGGCCCTGGTGAAGAAGAGTCAGGGGCAGGGTACTGCAGGCGCTGACCTGCCCCCTTCATCTCAGCGAGGCTTTGCTGCCAGAATGGAAGAGTGGCTGGGTCCACTCCGTGATGTAGCCTCTTCCTCTCTCCCCACCAGGCTGCTCTGGGTCAGAGGCATGGACCCCTGGTCTCACCTTAAACCGAACCATGTAGAGCGCGTCTGTCAGACGGTTCATGCTGGGGTGTTCAGCCCCAATCTGTCAGGGAGAGGGTAGTGTGAGCCCCATACCACTGTGTCCGGGAATTAGGGGCAGTAGCAAGCCTTTCATGCCCCTTCTGGCCCTGGGTAAACCCCCCTCACCTCCAAGAAGACACCGACCACAGCCAGGCCATCGGGTGCTGAGGCCGCCTCCCCAAAGGTGCTGTACTTCTTGGCGTTCCAATGAACCAGGTGCAGCTACAGGGTTAACAACAGGCCAGGACAGTGCTCAGCACTCCAGGGGCCATGGGAGCTCAGAGCCAGGCTTCCTTCACTCCCAACAGACCCCTGGCCCCTCTGCAGGAGGGACAGGCTGCCAAACCTCCCAGGCCTAGCATCCTAAGTGGCCCCGGGGAGCCCCCAAAGGGCACACATAGCATCCACCCTGCTCTGGACCCAACCCTTTTCTGAACCAAAGAGGAATCTTGCTCAGGCCCTGCCCTCCATGAACTAACCGTGAAATAGACAATGGCCATCCAGTGTGACACTCCCTGAGGAAGAGGCACCTGCACTGAGTCCAAAGAATAACTAGGAGGTTATCAGATACAACCTGGGGGGAAAGGTATTCCAGGAAGAAAACCTGGAGGTATGGGCAAAAGCCCGGAGGCATGAAAGAGCCAAGTGTGGGCAGGGGATTCACCACCCGCAGTGCAGCGTGGGGACAGTCTGGGGGAAGATGAGGCCATGCAAGGCTAGTTCATGCAGGGCCTTGAATGCTAAGCTCAATCCTAGAAGGCTTATTAGCAAGGGTGTGGTGGGACTGGATTTGCCCTTCAGAAAATTCCTTCTGGACACACAAACCAGCACAGCAGTGAGCAGAGTTCAGCTAGGAGATCCCATGCTGGCGGTAGGTGGAGGAGGTCTCTCCCAAAGACCCTGGGTGCCCCTCCTCACTCGCTCCAGAGCCCAACACCAGGCACCCGCCAAACCCTGACTATCCAGTCCCCTACTCCTTCCCCAAGCAGTAAAGGGATTCCGATTGAGGAGGGCCCTTACCTCGCAGGGGAATGATTTGCCGTCTACCATGTGCTCTGAGCCCACGTTGTGCATCTTGCCCCAATGGAAATGGAACTGCTTGAGCCGGTAGGGCCCATCCAGGGGGCCCCCAGTCACCACTGTGGGTAGAAGTGGGACATGTAGCAATTGGTGTGAGAGAGCCTGCACCCCAGGCAGGCGCTAGTGCCAAGGTCAGAGCAGTGCCCAGGAGGGGGATATATTTTTCTTTTCTGTTTTAAAAATATGTTTTTATTGATTTTAGAGAGAGATGAAGGGAGAGGGAGAGAGAGAAACATCAATTGGCTGCCTTGTACTGGGCAATGAGCCCACAACTGGGGCATGTGCCCTGACTGGGAATCAAACCAGCGACTTCTTGGTGCCTGGGTTGTTGCTCAACCACTGAGCAACACTGGCTGGGCGGGGATACATCTTTCATTTGGAAAATTGGCTGGGCTAATTGGTCTTGGGTCAGTCCCCACTCTGTTCCTTGGGCCCTTAGTTGTGCCAGGGCAGAAATCCTGACAGCTTGTAGGTGGCAGGGAGTCTGGTACTGACAGAATACATCTCTCCACCATTCCCACTCCTGCCCAATTTTGTACAGAAGCTGGAACCTAGCCTCTAAGCTGCCTCCCCACCATTATCACTAACAATAGGCCCCTCATATCTGGAACTCTGACCCAGGGTTGGGTCAGAAGGATTATTTTGTTTAATCCTCATAGTAGTTCATGAGAGACAGAACTTATTATCTCTATTTTATAAAGAAGGAAACCAAGGCACAGAGAGGGAAAGGCATTTGTCCAAGGTCACACAGCAAGGCACTGAGCTAAGATATAAGCCTGAATTTCCTTTGTAAGTCCAGAGCCCAAGCCCCTAATCACCAGACCATGCTGCCTCCCCAGGACCTAGTGCTGTCCAGAGACCAGTTCCTCAGGGTCCCCATTCTGGTGGCTAGGCCCAGGTAACTCCAATGCTCCCCTGGATTCTTTGGTGGGCCCTACTTGTGCTGGTTTTATGACTTTCCCACCCTGATATCTGGTGAGCTGGGGCCACGCCTAAGGCCTCCTGAGGCTGATTGAATTTCTAGCTGAAAGGGATCTGACAGTGGAGAGAGCTCCAGCCAGGCCTGAATGTGAGCCCCTGGATCAGGTGACAGCCCTGGGCTCAGAGTTCCACTAGACCTCTTCAGGATGGGTGACCAGGCCAGGGCCTTGTGCCCTGTGGGCCCCTTGAGGAGGAGGAACAGAACAGGACAGTCCAGAGGCATAACCCTCCTTGTTGTCTGTCCTGCCTTATCTGAGGAGCAGGGCCTGCAGGCTGAGCTCCCTGATATTGCCTGTGCGGACTCACCCTCCTGAGCATGTCTTACCTGGGATCCAGAATGTGGTCTCTCAGAGAGCGAACTCCTTCTTTAACCCTTTGAACTTGGCTCCCTTGGCCTCCTCCCTTCGTCCTGACCATAGAACACACTACCACTCACTGTGCACTTCCTATGTGTTCTGCACTCTGGACATGTCAACCCCCACAGAGACCTTGAGGAGGACACATTGTTAAATTTATTGGGTAGATGTGAGACTAAGGCTCAGAAAAGCAGGTATCCTGCCCAAGGTCACACAGCTGGTAAGTGGCAGAGCTCCAACTAGCTTGTTGCCAAGCCCACTTTCTTTCCACTGGCTCCCTGCCCCCTCAGGCCTGGGCATTCTGGTAGGGAAGGGAACCCCAGATGGACCTGAAAGTAAGCCCCTGGGTCAGTGTTCAGAGGCATGCCCCCTTGGATCTTCCACCTCTACCTCATATAGTGGCCTTCACTGAGCTACTGATGTCTGAATTGAACCCTCAGTGCCCTCTGTTTAGAAGGTACAGCCATATGAAAACTGCTCCTTCATAAACCTAATCTAGGGTCAGTCATCAAGAGCCCCATCTCCCTCCCCAAAGCTCTGGGTAAGAGGCTTTCATTAGAATTCAGTACCAGGAAATGCTATGTCTCTCTTCTGAGGATCTGCTGGATTTGCTCCCTTCTGATACTCTTTCCCTTTTTTCCTAGCCTACCAGGGAACTCAGGGTTAAGCAACTAAAATTGCTCCTATCTGGCTTCCCTCCTCTTCTCTGCCCTTTGATTTTTTTATTTGGAACTTAACTTCCCTTGAGTGTTTTTATTATGTGTGTGCGTGGGGCGGGGGGGGGCAGGGTAGGCAGAGTTCCTGTCACTTCCTTACACAAGAAACTCCAGCAAGTTTCCTCCTTGCCCCACTCCACCCCTCGCAGATCTTATCATAAGGACACAATCCCTTCAATGAGGAGCACTCCTGAGGCCTCTGCCTAGGAATTTATCATGAAAACCTGAACTTTAATCCCAGGGCAAAGAGACCTTGGAAAGAGTGCCACAAGTTCCTGCTGGCCTCTCTTAGTCCCAAGATAGTTGGGATCTTGAGGTTGTACGTGGGCTGGAAAGAAAACCTTTGGAGTCGGACCAGGCTGGTTTGGGCCCTCCCCAGCTCATTGAGTCTCTATTTGCCTATCTTTTTTTAAAATCCTCACCCAAGGATATGTTTTTATTGATTTTTAGAGAGAGAGGGAGGGGAAGAGAGAGAGAGAAACATCGATATGAGAGAGAAACACTGATGCCCCCAGTACGCGCCTTGACTGGGGATCAAACCCACAACCTTTAAGTGTATGGGACTATGCTCCAACCAAATGAGCCACCTGGCCAGGGCATCTACTTGTCCATCTTAGAGGTAGGTTCTTGAGAGGAATAAAAGAGCTGCCTATGACTTTAGCAAGGGGCCTGGCACCCAGAACATTTTAGCTCCCTTTTCTCTCTCTGCTGGGCTTGGCCAGATCACACAGAGAGGAGGGTTTGGCCTTAGGCCACACCGACAGTCAGTGATGGGGCAGAGAGTAAAGTGAAAACAAACCTGACCTAAAGCACTAAATAGAAGGGAAGGAAGGGAAGTAGCATTTCTTGAGCTTGTGAGCATCTGCTGTATGCCAGCACTACAAATATCGCGCCAGGTTTTCATTTTTTCTCTCTATGATCCTAGGGAACAAAATAAGGTCCTATTACTCTCACTTTATGCCTAAGGACACCGAGGCTCAGGCCATGGCTTTATAGCTGATGAGAGGAGGTTTTCTTTCCCCACCATAGCATGTTGCCCTCCTTAGCCTGCCCCAGACAGGCTTAGTTCCCCAGGTGGAGGGGTGCCAGGGTCTGTCAGGGCCACTTACCAGATCGATCATCGCTATCATTGAAGTCCACCTGGACAGAGTGGCCATTGTTGGCAATACTGAGGGATGTGCAGGCCTCATAGGAAAGCTCCAGTGGCTTCAGGCTGGGTGAATACACAGCCTGTCTGGATATGATATTGATTGGTGATTGGCGATCTCCCTGGGCAATGGGATACAGCTTGTGCCACTGCGAGGGGCCTGCGGGTTGGGAGAGGGCAAGGACTCAGGCCAGCCCAGATCTCTAGGTATGGCCTCCCTGGTATGCTTTCAGACCTTAGCCCCTGCTTGGGAGCTGTGCAGTCTGGAGCTCCAATCCCAGCTCTGCCATTTACCCTCCATTTCCTTGTCTTAAAATGACCTCATTAAAACTCCCCACCCAGAGCTGATAGGAGGCCCAGAGAGGTAATGCGTGGAAGAGAGCACGATACAGCCATAGGCTCAAGGGTGGTTCTGGGCAATGAGTCCTCCCTAACATCTAGTACATGCTCAGAGGGACAGCCTGCCCAGGCATCTGAAGTCCCTGACCTGACCCCACCAGGTATCTGGCCTCTTCTTGCACCTTGGTAATGTTCATGTTGTTTGTGATAATAATAATAAAAGCTCCCAGCATCCTGGCTTTGGCTGTGTGACATGCATTTGTTCCTCACAGCTACCTTGTGCAGTAGAAACCAGCATGGTCCTCATTTCCCAGATGAGGGGACTGAAGACCATTCAGGCATGTGCACACTTACACTTGGGCACTGGTATAAACACAGCACGTGTATGAACTGCCTCCAGATGTCCTCCCCAGGGATGTGCCTACAGATCCACAGAGATCTTAATGTATGCACGCATGTGCACAGTGACCAGAGCTCACTGAGCCCTGAGGAGACAGGCCCAGCAACATATGTGCACAAACACACACGTACCCAGCCAACTATATCTGACACACACATATGCACCCTTACACAGGGACCCCTTTTGCAAACCCAGATCTGCACTAAGGGACTACAGCAAAACACATGCTGGTACACACACACACACCTGCATGCACACCCACGGGCACCCACCACCTGCTTCCCAGAGGCTCCATCTGCAGGCATCTCCCTGGGGAACATCCTGAGATGTAGCCTATTTTTAGAGCTATTGGCGGCTGGTGCTTCTCCCTGTTTTTTGGCTTCTTAAGTTTTCCTGAGAAAATAGCAGCAGGTGCCGACAGAGCTGTGTCCCCAGTAGATGACTCAGAATCGTGGCCCAGACTCACTGGGTTATTTTAGAAGTCTTGTGAGTATGCCGCCTGCTGGCACCTCTATCCTTTGTCCTCTCCCTCAGTGCCCCTAGACTGGACCACCCAGGTCTGGCTGGGTGAGGGACAACAAGCAGTCTGAGGGTGGCTGGCCATTGGGCAGGTCTATAGGATACTGGGTGCTCAGAGCTGGTGCTCAGGACTAGCAAGAAGGCTGGAGTTAGGGGACTCTGACTCTGGGGGAGCACACAGAAGCTGGCTTGGATCAGGTACTGGGGGGAAAGATGATCTTCTATGGGTTGTCAACGTGCCCTTTTCTGCCCCTCTCTCCATCTCTGCTGGTCTCTGTTGCCTTTTCCTGAATGTCTCTTTCTAGCTTTTGCATGCCCAGATCTGGAGTTCTACCCTCCAAAAGATGCTCCTGTGTCCTTGGGGTCCCAGACGGGGCCAGATATACCACAGCATCTCTCTAACTCCCTCTGGCCCATTGCAACCTCCTGACCGCCAGACTGTAGCCCAGGGCACCCCCCGAGAGTGACTGTCTCTCTCCAGAGAAGTGGGGATAGGGAGTGTTCCTCCCGTTTCCACTCCCCCTTTTCCCCACCCCCACTTGCCCTGCCTGGCAGCTTGGATCTTGGGTCCTCATTGTTCACCTCCTAGAAAAGGGGAAACCCTTACCTCCACCCTACCCCCACCCCAGCTTGGTGAGAAACAGCCCACAAAGGAACTGACCTGCCCCAGACCCACTGTCAAGCAGTCTGGCTTTCACTTTCTGCCTCTGCCCTCTTCCTCTGTATCCTAAGGAAACTGAGGCAGAATCGAGGAGCTATTTTCCAGATCAGACCAGGAGGATGGTGTGGGCCACGCCTCACGCCAGGACGCGTTCAGACACCCTGATCCCTGTAGACACCCAGACACATCGTGCGCACCCAAGTGACCCATTTCCTCATGCACCTGCCAACAGGTAAGCGCGAACATCCCTCAGGGAAACTCTCCCGGGGACACTGCGCCCTTGCCCGAGCGGAGCCCGGCTCCGGGGAGGATCCTGCACACACGACGTGCGCACTCAGCATCCGGCACC